ATTTGGTAGGATATTACTACTAATCAATGTGTTGAATATAGTTTGGTTGGAGTCTTTTTTGAAGGAATTATTGATGATTAAATTCAAAGTTTATGCTAAAAATTTCTATACATTATTGAGTGGTATAATATTAGAGGACTTGTTTGATGACATTTTTTCACTATCTTATTCCACTATATTTTTAATTCAGAGCAGAATCAGCAGTAGTTGGCAGAACTTGATCACAAGAAAACTGATATAAAAAGAAATGTTGCACTATCGGCAGTCAAATATATTGAAGCTGATATTGTTTTGCAGCATGTCTTTTCCTTAATTTATGTTGGTAATTACATTTGACTCTGTTGATTATAATTGATAAACAAATTATTGCATTTCATTTGATATTGCGGTAGTTTTGCAATGCAAATTACTGTATTTCAAAGTTTCAAAATCTTGCAACGTAACTAAGCTTGAGGAGTGTGGCAGATTTGGGATTTTAATGGAATATTTTCACCTTAAACTTTGATTCCCAGTGTAAATTAAGCTCATTTATTGTTTATCAATGATAGAATGATGTAATGCAATGTGTTAATTTCAAATATTATGTACAAAACACTAATGTTATAACTATGTTTTTCTGGATGTACATTTTCTATTTCTTCAACTTATAACAAGTTCACTCCAATCTTACCAGGTTCAACTTCATTGGCTCAAATTGGTAACCTTGAATTTTCTCTAAGCCTCAACATAGATTTTAATATCTATGATTGTAAGAGTTTAATTTCAAGTATGATTGTCTATTGTTATCCTTTCCCTGTATTACTTCTGATATTTTTGCATCATCAAGTTATGAAAAAATATTATAAATCATGTGGACTAACTAATATTTCTTCAAGAATGTTTACGTCTCATTTATAATATCTTCACCTGATATATACTTTTTACGTTTAACTCATTCTTAATGGCATATCTGTGTAAACTCATTCACTGCTTAATGGACACTATTTAGAAAAGTAGATATTAGCACTAAACTGTTTGGAGAAATATTGCATGACAAGGTTCCTATGTTTTGGCAAGTTTTATTTCAAATACCTTTATTTAGTTCTTACATGCAACTATATATGTAACTAGTACTTTCAACCCCGTGTGATGTGCATGACAAATTATAGATAAATATTATATGTGAGAAAAAATTTAGAATTTTTATTAATTGAATAGTTGAAGTACATAGAAATTAATGATGGAGTAATGAGATAGATTAATTAATATTAAACATTAATTAATATATTAAATAACATTTGTTGAAAAGAGAAAGAAAAAAAATAATGTGATTAAAATTTGTTTAATAGGAGTGTTCGCGGTTCAGTTTGGATCAATTTTAAAGCAAAAAACTCATCTGATTCAAACATAAATTCACTTGCGGTTTGGTTCGGTTTTAGATGATATATTAAAAAAATCTAATCCGATCCGATATAATTTTATGCAGTTTAATTTGGATCGGTTTTTGGATATCAATTATACATTATATTTTTATTAATATTATAAAACTAATAATAAATCATAGATTTGATATAATATATAACATATAATACATTAAAAATTAATATTACAAAATGAGAGTGATCGATTATGATTGAAATAATAAAAATAAATTGATTATAACAAGCTAATAAATATTATTAAAAAATTATTATCATCTAATAATAAATTCACATAAAATATCGTACTAATAAAAACTAAATAATTATAAAAATATATGTATGCGGTTCGGTTTGGTTTGGATCAGTTTTGAAAAACTCATTCGAAATTCAATCCGATAGGTTTTCATAAAATGACATCAAAACACATTCAATAAATTTCAGTTTTTTGCAATTTTCGGTTTTCTGAATAGATTTTCAATTTTTTATTTGGATTGATTTGGATTTAAACACCCCTACTATTTAGACATAATTTTACTCAAAATTTAGCATTTAAGTTAGTATTATGTTTTAATATATTAAGAATATGATTTTTAATTTTACATTTATTATTAAAATCATTTTTATATGAATATATTAAATATAAATTATTTTACATTCCATTTCATTTCAATTTAATTTTAATTTTCTTTATTGTTAATCAACTAAAAACCTTGGCACGTTTTCATTTGATGAACAAATGTTATTTTAAAATTAATGAAAAACCTTTCATATTTTTTATTAAATAATAAACTTTTCATACAAATAGGTAACAATCACCTTTTTTTTAATGATTAAAATAATATATTATTTTCTTAATTATTTCATGTCAATTAATTTTATAAACCCGAAAATAACATTAGCAAAGTTAATATGTGTATCCTTTTTACTTCAAATATCTTCATTTAGTTTTTATATGCAACATAATTTTTAATTTTATATTTATTATTAAAATGATTTTTATATGAATATATTAAATATAAATTATTTTACACTCAATTTCAATATTAGGTGTAAGGAACTTTCTATTTCTATAATTTTCTTAACACAATTCAATTTATATATTCAAGTTCAATGCAAAGGTATCCCACTATTTATAAATATTATATATTTAAAATAAATATTAAATAATCATAAGCGAAAAGAATTTTAAAAAATTAAATATTGAATAATGATAAGTGAAAAAAATTAAAAAAGTCATCTAAATAATAATTCTTCAAATTTTAAGATTATTGACATGGTTTTTAGAGTTCATCTTTTAATTAATATTGTTTTTATAAAATAATATTCAGTTTAGGTTTTTAAGCGGTAAGGCAGTGGGTTTTTGTTGCGTTATTCGGAGATTCGAATCCTTCCGTCCTAGATCATATCTATTCAAGAAATATACTTATTTCAATATAAATTGTATATCCGAATAAAGATTTATTTTTTTTAAGAAATTAATTTTTTAGATTTACGAAACATGAAAATAGAATATTGACTTATTTTCTACTACTTGATTTTAGAAATAAAATTATATAGTCAGAAAACCTAAAACTTAAAAGTGAAAAGTATATATTATTATCTATTGATTGAGTCAATGACTATGCACGATTTCAAAATGAAATCAATTATATACCAAATTGAAACTAAAAAATAATATTCTAGTAAAACCTTTATTAATTTATCAATTACTAATTTAAAAATGAAATATCAAATTCGAAATAAATTAAATACATTTTTTCAAAAAAGTATTCATATTATATGAATGTAAATAACTAACTTTTAATAAAAATATTATTTTCTATTTAAATTTCAATTATATTATAATTATTAATGAGTTATTAATAATAAATAAATAATTTAATTATCTAATTAAAAGAAAATACAATCTTTCCAAAAATAATTGAAAGATACAATCTTTAATTTGTTATTGTAAAAGTAGAAGACGTTGACACAATCTTATAATAATAAATTCATATTTTTATGCGAAGATCAAATGAAATTAGTGTCATTTTATACATTATAATATATAGTTAGATGTTTAGTTATTGTTATTATATAAGTTAGGCCGACTCAATATACTCAAATATTTTAAAAAAAAAAGTGTAACTATTTAAGGTTCAATCATTTTCAATAATACAATTAAAATTTTCTTTACCGTAGAGATTATATATAATCATTGTTTATTAAATAGTTAAATTATTTACTTCATATGTATTATTAATAACTTACCAATTTATTTTTATGTTATCATAGTTTTATTTGTAAAATCGTAAATAATTCTAATATTTTTAACATAAATTTTTTTAACTAATTACATTTTACCGCATAAAATAGCAAGATCCTAGCTATATTAAGAGTAATTTACGATAAATTTAAAAAACAAACATAATTTTAATAGAATAAGATTGAAACAATAATTTATTGCACAATTAAGGCTAAAAACATTCTCTTTTTATACCCTCAAATCCTCATAAAATTGGAGTCTTAAGACCCATTTTTAAAAAGAAATATTTACATGTGTTTTATATCCAATAAAATAAATATAATTAAGAAAATATTATAAAAAAAAAAGAATTTAAGAGACTTAGTTAAGCTTTTCAAAATTTATGTCTGTTTCGATTAAAAATAAATAAAAAATAAAAAATTGCATTATATTTATTTTTGGTTTTCTCTCTCTTTAGATCATATAATTTTAAAATGATCGCCCTCGAATTCATGATAGTTATTATTGCTATTAAAAGAACTAAAGTTTTGAATTGAATTAAATTATAGAATTGAAATCGAGTCCAATATTTATTGTTAATGCTTTTATGAATTATTTTCTGGTGTCCCGGAAAATCAAGTGTTGATTTACATGTTAGGTGTATATTTTTAGTATTGATTTCTAATTATTCGTATTTTTAGAGAAGTTAATTTTTATACAGATTTTCTGACTAAAATCGATTTAAAAATTAAATATTTTACTTATTGATATCTGATCACTCATATCTTTAGAGAAATCAATTTTTATACAGATTTTCTGACTAAAATCGATTTAAAAACCAAATATTTCACTTAGTATAATTTTATTCATGATAACATTGTTTTGGATTACTTGTTTGCGGATATTTCTAAATTTAGGCTTGTTCTTAAAGTTTTAGTTTGGTTAACAATAAAAAAAAAAGCATATATAAAAAAAAAATACAATTTTAAAAGCCTGTTTATAACATGTAAAGTGCAAACTTAAAGATTCATTTCATGTTAACGTTAAAATAAAAATCGATTTGGATCCAGTCAGGGAAGAAACACCACCGTCCAATGGCGCTGCTCCGAAGATTCCTCCACCGGAAGCCGCCACGCCGTCCTCCGGAGATCTCTGACAGAGGCGGTACGTTTTCCAAATCTCAGATTTTCTCCATTTATCTCTTCCGCAGTTATCGCATTAACGAAAATCCAAAAAAGGCAACACAATGCAACATTCCGCTTCCGTGTTTCAATCAACGATTCGTAATTAATTCAAATTGATTCACTATACTCTTCACTGTTATTATATATATATATCATCGTCGTTGTTAGATTTGTAGTTGTCACACGGTTGCCATGGGTTGTGTGAAGTCGAAGGAAGTGAATGAAAGTAGAGTGACTGAGTTAGGGCGAACGAGTCCGAATGAGTTGCTGAGTCATAGCTTTGGGAAATTGGATAAGTCTGTTCAACGTCAACTCGAGGCGGTTGGTTGGCCGAAGTGGCTTGTTGCCGCGGCTGGTGAAGCTATTCGCGGTTGGATTCCATTATGTGAAGATAAGTTTCAGATGATGGAACAGGTTCACCATAGTTATTACTATTATTAAATTATTATTAACTATTAGAATTTTTTTATAAGGATTATTTACTATTATTAGTATTGTTTTTTTTTCTTATGTGTGGATCACTGGTTTAAATCTGAAAATATATTTATAGGTGGATATTCTGTTTTTTCTGGCTTTTAAAATTTACTAAATTCTATAATGATATTTTGAATTCTATGTATATCAGTAGTTTTTTTTTTTCTTTTTCTTTTTTTTACCGATGACGTCCAATTTAGCAATATCGACTTTGGTCACATGAGTTAGGATTTGATTAACTCTCTCTATCTCTTCAAATTTATTTAAATTTAAATTTATATGTTATAGTATGTTTTTGGACATGTGAGAGACGACATGTAGATTCTGTGATAAGTAGAGTAGATTAGATAGAAAGAAGACAAACTATTAGAGAAACATCTCAAGAATAAGATTTAGATAGAAATATGGTGCTAGATAGAAAATTATGGCGAAAGTTGATCATGTAGCCGACTCCACTTAGGGGATAAGGCATTGTTATTGTTGTTATAGTATGTTTTTAAATTTAGAAGACAGAGGCATAAAGAAATATTTCAGAACAAAATTAATAGCTACTTTGGAGTTTTCTTTCTCCTTTTATTAATAAATAAAATATAAATTTATTTTGGAGTTTCATTTTGATGCTTGCTACATTTTCTACATACCAAGAAAAACAGTGATTCACTCCATAATTGTCGCTGTTTTAAATTTGCTGTTATTGTTGCTATTACAGTTATGCCAGGAAACTCCAAAGTTACCCGTGTGACATGTGTTATAGATATGTTTTAAAATGTTGAATATTGCTGTACTTAGTTTTGATATTGATTATGTTGTGTTTCAGATTGGAGAGGGTACATATAGCCAAGTATTTAAGGGGAGAGACCTTCAGACATGGAAATTAGTAGCACTGAAAAAGGTGAGGTTTAACAGTTTAGACCCGGAAAGTGTAAGGTTCGCGGCAAGGGAGATAATGATATTGAGAAAGCTTCATCATCCCAATATCATGAAGCTTCAAGGGTTGATTACTCCGAGATTATCTAGTACCTCCTTATACCTTGTGTTTGAGTACATGGAGCACGACTTTGCCGGGCTCTTGGGCAATCCCGAAGTCAATTTCACTCAACCACAGGTACTAATAATAATGATAAAATTTTAAGTTACACTGGTCGCAAATTTGAATTAATATTTGTTTAGATTTGATAAGATTAATTTAAGGAGTAGATTTGATTTGATTTTAAATTTAGATTAGGACTAGATCTAATTTGATTTGATTCAAATGTGAATTTAGAACTAATTTCAATTATTTGATTAGGTGGATAAAAGAGTTCAAATGAAGGATAAAATTGAAAATAAAAAGCTACACCCAAACTTAGTATTTATTCTATAAATATATAGTTTATATGTTATCTTAGCTAATGACTGTTGTTGTGCCCCTGTGAATGTTTGTTGTTTTGTCATAAGGTTTCTTTGATATTATTATCTTGATTACCGTTGATATGGCATTGCAATTTTGATTAGTAAATTGTAAACAAATACAACCATGAATTTGTTACTTGGTCACAATGCAGTTGGAGAGACTACTAAAAGCTTTATGCTATGAGCATACTTATTGTTTTGGTTGCACAATGCAATTTAGAACCTTTGATGCTAGTTATGAGCATTGCATGTTTGTGTTGCAGATAAAGTGCTTTTATGAAGCAATTGTTATCTGCTGTTGAATATTGTCATTCACTTGGTGTGATGCACCGAGACATTAAAGGGGCAAATCTTCTTGTCAACATGATGGAACGTTGAAAGTTGCCGATTTTGGATTGGCAAACCTCATTACATCGGAGCGGAAAAATACCCTCACTAATAATGTTGTCACATTATGGTATCGTCCACCGGAACTTTTACTTGGTTGGACAAATTATGGTTTTTCTGTGGATCTCTGGAGTGTTTGGCTGCATCTTTGGAGAGGCTACTCCTTAGGAAGGTTATATTTCCGGGAAATCTAAGGTAGTACCCTCTTCAAAATAAATGATTTTTCGCATCATAATACACGAGTTTGGTTTTTAACTTATTTGCATCTTATTAGAAAAATGACAAACCTAATGAAATTACAATTTAAATATTGCTCAATAGATGAACCAATTGGATATTGCAATTCCCAGACTATATTTGAATTTTCTGTTTTAAATTCTTTTAAATTCATTTTTGTACACATGCAGCATGACCAACTAAAGAAAATTTTCGAACTTTGTGGCAACCCATCTACTGAATTCTGGAATAGGACTAAACCTCCTTTTGACACTTTGAGGCCAAAACTACCTTGTGATGGTTGTTCCAAGATTACTTTAAAGATCTGCCTCCAACCAGCGTAAATTTGCTACAAACTCTTCTCTCTATTGAACCTTACAAACGTGGGACTGCTGCACTCTGCTCTCTCGTCTGAGGTAGGTTGCACTCGTTTTGGAATTTGTTGAGAATTCATGTAATTTTGTGCAAAGACTTTTATGACTATGCTTATAATTGAATTATATTCTGAACTCTTCTAGTTTCTAATACTTCTGCCATGCCGCTTTCAGTATTTCAAAACACCACCTTATGCTTGTGAACCATCAAGCTTGCCGAAATACCCAACTAGCAAGGAAATTCACGCAAAGCAAAGGGCGAGGAGGAGTTAAGGTACGGGATGATTTTGAAATATCATTTTATGTATTATTTGTTACAAAGAAAATGTTTCGTTTGTCACATTTCATTCAACTGATGTCTCTGGGTTGCATTTGTTTCTGAATGGGTCAAATATGAAAATAGTTGCATAGCATGTTCATTTCACTTATTTGAGTTTACTACCATAACATTTCTTAAGCTGATCCATCAGGGAACAATTTTTTCATTGTGACACTTGCTAAGTATAAGAACCAAAATAAGCATTCTAACAACAGTTTTCTCATTGAATTGATCATTTACAATGATCAATTATATACAAAGCTAGTGACTTGCATCCTAAGCTATTGCAGGTATGCATCTCTCTATCATTACTTGATTAGCAAGTAACTGCCACAACTAACCTTCTAACTGTTTTGTAACAGAAAACTAGCTAACATTATCATCCTAACTAACTTCAATTGGCTTGTTGAATCGGTCTTCTATATGCTTCAATGATAAGATGGTTACCTATCAATAAAAGTATTTCCTTTCTGAGAAACAAATTAGTTATATTCATAGTGACAGGAATGAAATAAAAATGGTTACCTATCAATAAAAGTATTTCCTTTCTGAGAAACAAATTAGTTATTGTTTTTGTCAAAACAGCTTGAACATATTATAGGACTAATAGTCAGTCCATACTTATATACCCTTAGTCTTTCTTCTCTTTTTCTTTTGATTTTTTTGTATGATTTATATTATTGAGATATATATTCTTTGATGTTGGCAAATTGAAAGGATGCAGTCAACAGTTGAACAATATTTAGCAAATGCAACAGACCAAATATATTTCAAGTTCCAATATTGTTAACATTACCGCATCGTCTATTCTTGTTTTTGAAATTTTCATTAAAACATATTTTGATGGACTTTCAGGAAAAAGAAGGATAGGACAAGTTCGTCAAACTGAAGCAATGAAACAATCAAGAAAGCTGCTAGGATTCCCAGAGGTCTATCTTACTTTCTCTTCTTGCATTGCGAGAGTTTTCCTTAGATATTTGTTTTGATGCACAGTTAATGTCAAACTTTTTACAACGGTCAACCATCACAACTATCATTTAATTATGTCACTTTTAAAGTCGATATAATTAAAGTCAAATATTTTTAGTGATCCATTGGTGACGTTCATTGACATTTGACAGTGTAAAAAATATTTACATTGCCGATGCACATCAATTAAATCATTCATCTTATATACCATGCAAACCAATTCTCAACTCAGAATTTTCTTTGCAGGATTCGGCATGTCAAACTCAGAATTCGCACAAGTTCCGTAGTAGATCTCTCCGAATCCTTAAAGAGAAGAGTAACCTCGGTGAGAAGGCATCTCAAGGAAACATGTTCTTTTCTGGCCCATTACAAGTTTCAACATCAAATGCATCTGCTTGGGTAAAAAGCCAAAAAGACAATACTTCACTTCGATCAGATTGTCGAACTACTTCTAGAGGACATAGTTCCAATGCCTTGGATTCTTCTGCATTAAACTCGAGAAATAAATTGGACACAGTAATTCAAGAAAATAAAGAGTTTTGCGGTAGAAACACCAAATCTAGAGGCCTTGAGCTACTTGAAATTTATAAGGCTTCAAAGGATAATCATTGGAGTGGGTTTGATCGTCTAAACTCATTTGATGCTTCTGATGAGTACCACTCGCGAGAATTGCCGACAGTGCTTTCTGAGGGAGAAGATCCTTTGTCCAAAAGAAGTAACTGGTAAGTTTGTTAGTTGGTCAGAGTTTTTATCTAGTACTCCCTCTCCTCCTTGAAAGAATTCTTGTTTATTTGACATTGGATGATGTCAATCATGCGATTTATGTGTGATTGGATAGAAATAATTCTTATTTATTGCCATCCATGCAGAGTTTATCAGAATCAAAAAGGTAAAGTTGAATTTTCAGAATCACTAATGTCTCAACTGGACACGGTTGACTGACGAGGGTTGCATCCGGCAAACGGTCAGACCATCATCATTTAAGAAAGGTACTCACTCCATTTGAAAAACATTAGCTGTTAAATAAGCCTTATAGTTTTGTTTCAACATTTTGGTGTTTTTGAAATTCAATACATATTTGACATTTTTTCACCAAATATACTCCTAATTATGATTAACATGATTTGAGTTTATTAGATTATTTGTTATTTATAGAATATTTATAGGTATTTTTTGTAAAGTATTAAATGATTTGATGATCAAAGTACTAAGTATTTTGATGTTATATTTTTTCGGAAGAACTTACAAATGGGTTCTATGGTGTAGTGGTTAGCACTCTGGACTTTGAAATCCAGTGACCTGGGTTCGACTCCCGGTAGGACCTATTTCTAACTTTTGTTTGGTATTTCTTGTTAACTTCTGTGATTCATGTTTTGCAGATAAGAAGCACGTGACAGGAATATAGTAAGGGCAACTCTCCCCAGCATTTTTCGAAGCTTGGAAGTCTCAACAATTGAAATCCTAATTTTATTATGGATGTAGGAATTTGTTTCTCCATGGTCTCAATTTTCCCTCCTAATTTTTTTTCATTATTAATAGTTTTTTCTACCTGCAAGTCTCGTGCAGAAATTATGCTTATTTCATGCGCAGTAACTGGAATTAGATACAAGAGGTTTTATTTATAGAAACTAATACCACCCCATTAGTCTTTTACATTTTTATTTGGGGCCATAATTCAAAAATATATATTTTTTCAATCTTTCATTTGAATTTCTACTGCTTCATGGAGATTTATTACAAGCATAGCCAACACATCATATGAAGTGTGATAAATAAAGTGCTGATGGCTGAAAGTTATTTTAAAACAATAATTTACTGAATTCTTTTTAATTTTATCTATTCTGGGTTTATATTGGAAGTGCAACTTTGTAGGGTAATACAAATTTAGACAGAAAGTAGTAGCCATGCGGGATATCTTGTACTTTTTTTTCTAAAAAAAATGATATTTTTAACACTCTGGATAGGTTTGGGTGGTTTTGATGCTAAATGTCATTCAAATCTTAAAAGAAAAAGAACGTTTGATTTGGTTTGATTTGAGTTGTTTTTAGAGGATAACAAGACTTTGTGTTTAATTATTCATACATTAACAAATAACAAAAGAACTTGAATAACACATCACCTAGACATTCGAACCAAATATGTTTTTATTTTTTTTACGATTTTTTCAGTTCAATTTGATTAGTGATTTTCTATCAGATCAGTTCGATTTTGAACACTCCTATTACACTCTATATATAGAGTAGAAAAGGTGCAATTCAACATTTAAATTATCACTTTTTAATTTAATTTTTAAACTATTAAAATAAAAAGTTCATAAACTATTCTTTCATCTAACTATTTAATCCCTAAAAAAAAAAAAAGATAATTGACTTAGAGAATAGTTTAGGAGCATTTTATTGAACGACTGACTTTAAGCACAAGAGAGAATTTAATTGTGGTATTTAAGATTCACGATTAATTTAAACTTTTTTCAATTAAGATCTTAATAGTAATAAAACACTGAAAGTAAATTGCAGAAAATTAAAAGGATAGGGTAAGAAATATTGCACCAGAGATTTATACATGTTCGGTCAAACGTTGGTTTAATCCTGTCTCCAAGAGGTCTTCTTGAGAGTTTCACTATAAACTTTGAATTTTTGAAGGTGATGCCCACGAACCTTAACACAATATGATCTTGATATTTTAACAAGTTTATCCCAATCAATGATAGTTTTTACCCCAGGTTCAGCTAACAAACTGTTTAGAGATTTATGGCAGATCTCAAGAACTAAAATATTTTTTTTATTCAAAGCATAATAAACCAAGAACAAAGATTTTATAAAGGTTGATCTTA